ATCAGACCCGCCTTTTAGCTCACCACCAAGATTCAGATCCATTTTATTCGTAGTTTTCTATCTCTATGAAACCCAGATATTACTTTGTTAAACACTCATTCATTAGTCAGTTTCATGTTCTCCAGTTCTTACTCATGCCATCCAGACTCAGCTCTGCTACTTTTGGGGGTGTAATCATTAAGCAGGAGAGAATGATCTAACAGAAATACTCTTGCACTTGATGGCATGTAGCTTCATCAGAGGACCGAGGACACATAGAGATCCAAATTAGACTTCAGATCCGTTTCGCCCCATAGCGCTGCTTCATGCGGTCTTTCCCAGAACCAGCAGGAGGGAAGTAACCAGGACTCTGAACATGCTGAGAATTTAAAGCATTACCTCTTAGTGGTGGGTGAGAGTACATTCATGTGAGGCTGACATAATGTGTAAAATCTATTGCAGCAAAATGCTATTGTTTCAAGCATTATTTTTGGATGAATACCTTTTGATCTATTTTTTGTTGAGTAAGCTCCTACGGAGCTTGCATTGCCTTCAAGACACCTAAAGGATGAACCTAAAGGATGCTTTACGGTATAAAAACAGTCTGCCATGAAATTGGATGAGTTCTGAGAATGTACACAATCCCAAAGGGTCAAAACACTTTGTTTCAAATGACATCTTAACCTTTCCTCTAGCAACAATTAGAGGAAAATGTAAAAAAAAAAAAAAAAAAATGCCATCCCTGCTGATAAAAACGCACAGCAATAACCTCTGTTTTTTTTAGCCTTCTGGTTATTTCATTATTGCTGAAAGTTATTATCTTCAATATGTTGTTTATTTAAAAGAAAAGGTGAAAAGGTCTTTTTAAATATTAGTGCTTATGCTTATTGAATTACTGGGAAGTCATCTGGAGGTACTTTACCAAAGCTATATATCTTTTTACCATAAAAGGTGCCATAAACACATTAATTTGGATGGACAAAACAAGTAAATCTTATTTATCATCTAATCTCATTCCAGGCTCCGTTTCATTTATGTTTTGATTACAAACCTGATATATACCTTTCATGATGCCCTCACTATGAATTATGCATTGATTTGATCTCTAAGAAGGCAGAGTTTTCAATTGAGGGGAGACATTAATCTGTGTAATGTATTATTGATGTTTACATTTAGGGGATCACAAGCAGAATTCTTTTCTCACATTACCGCATGCATCCATAAATAAAAGCAAGCATGGATGCACACACGGGGAACACACACTAGGTGCGTCATCTTCATAAGCATCTCCAGCTGCACAAGGCTGAGTTGATGCAAAGGCACAGATCTGTTAGGGGAGCAGGTGTTTGTCTCTAACCAAAATATAAGGAGATGTACAGCAAGCAGTAAGTCCCAATATTTTATATCCCTCACAACCTCCACAATCTGTCTTCAACATTTGCTCTAAAAGACATATTTGACTTGACTTTGTCATTTAATTTCTCCCCATCCTTGACCTGAGACGGACACTTTAACTGATCCAGTACCGTTTTATTTTTTTCAAATGAGTGTGCTGCCTAAATAGTTTTTTTTTTCTGTCTTTATAAAAATATAAATAAGCCTCAAATTAGTAAAATGTTTTGATTTTGGGTTTTTTAAGTCTTGATTTTCTGTGTTTTTTTTTTTCAGTAAACAATAAATTTAGTAACTTCTGTATTTCTTGGCTTTTTGGATTGTTTTTGCTAGGGTTAAATTCTTAACTTTGGCAGTTTGTGCTTTCTTTTTGCCTTTTTTGTTATTTCGGTATTTCGGCTTATTAGTACGGCTTTGCTTACTTTTGTGTTGAATTTGCTTTTGAGGCCCCTCACCTGAAAAAGCACGATGTAAGTGCTGACCATTTGCTTGAGACCAGTGTAAAAGCAAAAGATTTCTGTTAGAAATGTTGTGAAATGTTAATAAAACTGTCACACAGACATGCACATATTCACACATACACAAACACACATAATACATCTCTCTATCTTTTTCGGGTCTTTCCTTGGACTTTCATTAATTTCCAACCCATTTCTACTCCACGTGGGATGACTATTTGCTCTGCTCTGGTGTTCTGTGAGCTCAGCATACCACGTCAGGCCAGCATACCCTTAGTAATACGCATTACATAGAGTTTCTCTCTCCGCACGCTGTTTTATTTCGCGATTTAGTCCGGTTGTTGTCATTTTGTGCAAAAAACAACAAAGAAATAAGTCACTAGGTTCGTTACACACATTAGGTTTAAGAACAAACATTGCATGTCCATTAGATGAGGGTCTTATTAAAGAATTATTTGCATTTTTTCATAGAGGATTAAATATTTATAGGGAGAGGATTGTACAGCCCAGTTGACAGCTCTTTAATATAAGCAAATAAAAAAAAAATGCATCTGTGTATCAAGGCACATCAAGAGAGTCTCAAAAATCCACACACAAATGTAGTGAAGTTTAAATACCACTAGTACTTTGTGATTTATTTGTTATTGTTTATTAGGGTGACCATATTTACATTTGGGAAAACCAGGACACCTTGGAGCGGGGGGGGGCTGGGGGTTTTGAAAGAACAAATATCTCATCATCTGGATTTGCTCCGTGTTACTATGAAAATAGTTGTTTTAATGGTTATAGAGTCAGATATGTGGTGGTAATGTTTGGTTTATCGAAAGGTTTTTATCTGTTACTGTGTAAATGAGTTTGGCTGTAATTTAATGACAGATTCTAATAGATCTGCAGAGTGGGAACTATAAATCTGATAGGAGTTAAATTTTTTTATTGTTGTTTTGCACAATATGCTTAACTAAGTATTTTTTGTTGTTGAATATTAGAGATTTTGCAGATATATTTTGTAGATACATTGTTTAGATTTACTTATATATTTCTAACCCTTTTATAGAATAGAAAATCCCTTTATTGTCCCACAATGGGCAAATTTACAGCAGCAGACAGATTATTGAAAATGGTCACACAAATGAGGACCTTAGAAAAATGAATAAGAATAACATAATAGGGAAGAGTTAAAATATAAACAATACAATACTGTAAAGTGTTTTAACAATATAAAACTGGAGAATTAATAACCAATATGCAGCTATGGACATTTTTACAGTAATGGATATTTGAAAATAGCAGCAACATCAGAGATGTGCAGAATGACAGCAGCAGGTTATTTAAGGTTTCTATCATTACATTTGATTTGATTTGTTCCTGCTCCCGGTGGTTGGAACCTTTATTCCACTCTGGATTCTTGTGAGTGTAGTCTTTGTTCACTTTAACTTTTTTTTAAATAAATAAATAAACAAACAGTTTTGAAAACCTCGGTATTCATTCTTTTCCTGCTTTGTGTGTCAACTTTCACGGTTGCTAAGCAACAGAGCATACAGCGGTAAAACCCGCCGAAGGGTGGACCTGTTCGAATTTACAGCCAAAACTCTTCCGGCCTCCTTATTTTCAAGGACTTCGAAGGATCCAGTCTAGGTAGACCGCGTCCTTGGAGGATGCGTCCTAGGTTTTCGAACAGAGCAAGAGCCTCTGATTAAGAACAGGGCTGCCCGCACTGACGCGGCTCAGGGATTACGTCACACGGAGCGTCGTGCGCAGTGAAATCAGGACATTTCCTCACTTTCTAAAAAAAACCCGGGACGCCCGGGACAGGACGTGAAATACGGATATGTCCCGGGAAATACGGACGTTTGGTCACCCTATTGTTTATGGACCAGAAATACTTTGGCGAATCATGTGCTGTGCGTGTGTGAATCTTGTATGCTTGCATGAATCATGCTGTTTGTGGAGCTTGTATTGTGTGTGTGTGTGAATTTTTTTGTGATTGTGTGAATCGTTTAGCTCCATATTAATACCTAACCCTAACCTAAACTCAATTTACATTTTAGTCAAAAACGTGACCCCTGACCTTAGATAAGCAATTATCCTTTAGGGGTCTAGACAATGGGTCCCAGAAGGAGCAGTTGGCCCCCAGAATGTGCTATTTTTTTTCCAGAAAATGGGCCCCACAATGTCTCAAATACAAACACGAACACACACATACTGGAAGCAGTGTGATGAAGAGAGCTTGTACATAAACAATTGTTTAAGAAGGGTACAAAAACCCTTATGACAAAGCAATGTTTTGGAGATTGAGATGATTTCTGTGTACTCTTGACAACCTTACCTCTTAGAAACAAAATTACCTGTCTGAGAGTTATTTTAAAAACATTAAAGGTTTCCACCATTAATCTTTGGGAACGGATTAATAGCAGCTGCAATACCTGTAACAATGATGCATATGTTTTGTTCATATTGTGTGTGGAATCTAGTGGAATTTTTCAAAATGTGCAAATGTGGTAACATGGCTTGGTGCTTCATTTAATTAGTTTTTTTGCTAAATGAATTGTAAGGCAATGCATCAAGCTTATTTTTTGCTACGCCTCTGATATGAAAGGCAGATACACCAAAGCATGACAGGGGTAATAATTACAACATAAAGAGTGGATACAGCAAATAAATGATCAAACATTTATAATGCAACTCATATATGCACGTATTTATGCACAATTTATGCACAAAGATAATTCAAAGTCCACACCCATCTTTAGTGCAGCACAATTTGTATTACTTTCTCTTTTTTGTATGCCTTGTGTATGATGCAGTGCTGACATGTCACATAACAAGCTATAGAGGGTTAGGGGTTAGGCTTTTTTTTTTATTGCCAACCCATACATTTTTTTAATACTGGTTAACAATGGTGAGCCAGAAGTATAACACTTCCATCAACATATGGTGATATTTACTGTGTTAGCATTTTCCAGCATTAAAAATTAAAGACTCTTATTTTATTTATTTTTTTTATTCTCACTGCATTATTGCTATGCTCCTCTGACTTATTTATTTAGATTTTCTTTAATGGCAATATCTTTAACTTATTTTTATTATAATTTTTTTTTATTAAAAAAAATCTTTAACTTATTTAAAGAAAAGTTAAGTTCATGTTTACACATATACCTCTGGACAACAAAATTATTTTGCTTGTTTTTTATTTCATTTACAATGCTCTGCCTTGGTTAATTTGTCCATGGCAAAAATGCTCCTAGTCTGCACTCCTGCTGCAGAGGCTGAAGAGATTGCCAATAAATACAGTTAATAAAAAAAAAAAAGGTTTTAACACTTAATTTTCCTTTTTTTATTTCAATGAATCCACACCGAGCACAATGGCTGCTGCACATATGAAAATCTCCAAAATGACTTTGTGTCTTGGCAGGAACCAGCGCTGTCCTATGGGCACATTTCTAATACATACAGTAGTAGTGAATTTCGATCCGTGCATGCGCAGGTGAGTACCTGAAGGTCATTGAGATGAAGGAGGGGCTGAGTGGGAGAGTTGAGTAACATTACTTAATCCACATGATGTGGATTCAGAAGACCTTTGGATGAACAGGCCCATATATCCATTTATCAGCCTTAAGGCTCCATTTTGGCTCCTCAAGGCTTAAAGATTTATATCATGAACTATGGAGCTGTACCGATGAAAGGTAAATACAGAATACTTTACAAGACAAATCCCCTAAAATAAAAGAGAACACACTGTGCTCCTCAAGACAGTCTGCATATAATAATTAAGGTATTTTATGAGGAATAATACTGTTGAAAATAAAAACCAAGCTTTGAAATACATTTATTGCTTCCCGCATCCTTTAATAGCTGTTTGTTTAACTCCATTGAAGTTTATCCTGGGGTCACAGTTTACCAAAAACGCAAATCCTGAGATATTGCACAAGCACGCAGCATGGTCTCCAATTTAATCTCCTGACATGATTTTATTCGTCTCAGCAGCTGAGGATTTTGATGAAGGCCCTTCTGAACTCGATGTTGAAGGTAGTATAGATGACAGGGTTTAGGGCGCTGTTTACATATCCCAGCCAGGTGAAAGCACTGTAAAGTTCAGGAGGCACGTAGCACGTCCTGCAGTGGGTATTCAGGATATGAGTCACAAAAAAAGGCAGCCAGCAGATGAGGAACACCCCTGAAGCAGGAAGACAGTGGAGCGGTGTGGGGAAAGGACAGCGGAGTACAGGTTGAATGCCATGAAAGTGAAACAAAGAGAAGATAGAGAAAGAGAGAGATAAAAAATACGTTAATCATAGTCTTATTTCATGGTTGTTTCCTTTCCCAAAGCTAGACCTCCAAAACACATCAGTGACCAGAATGCAACCGATTTTTTCATTTACTTAATCATATTTAGTTACTTTAACACAGTTGTTTTATGTCCTGCCCTGCTAACATGAAGCAATTGTAACAAAAGTAACTAAAAAACGATTGCATTCTTTTTTTCAGTGTATCTGAAGACAACATTTTTTATGGAGCTATACACATAAACTGGGTAACTCATGTATGTCACATTACAGTTTCTCTGACATTGACACTGGACAATTGTTGACTTATTTGTACAGGAAATGGTATCTGCAAGCTGTTAGGGTCACGACCAAATATCTTCAAACACCAAGAATTCATGTTCACAAATACTGTATATCATTCTGTGAAACATCTTTCATTATTCTGATAAAATACAAACTTAGTTAGCCAAAACAGAAGCTTTTCCTAGGTTTTATGTCTTTAGCTGCCATATTCTTGCTCCTTCGTTCTTAAAAGATATAAATATAAAAAATATAACCGCGGATGACTGGGGGACAGTGATTCGCCTACATGTTATGAATGCTGACATACGATAAATGATAAATTATGAACAGTTTAGTTTGTGCCTTCAGGTCGTTGCCCATAGGAAGACGTTACTTGGATATAACCTAATGGAATATCTGCAGAACGGCTCCAAATGACACAAGACTCATATGGGTGAGTATAACATGATGTAATAACGTAAAATCAAGGGCCCAATGTAAAAAAAAAAAAAACAGTGTTCCCCTATAACTATTGAGCGTCACTCCCAGCTGTGGAAGGCGCCTTGTCTGAAGATGGGGGGCTTTAAACGAGAATGGGATGGCTTTTTCCTTCCAACAGAAAAGGAAAGTAGTCGTTACTACGGCAACATAGTGACACCCCATGTGCGTGACTGTAGCTTTGTGGCGCAGGATGACAAATGTCTATGGCCAGATAAAAGTATTTCAAAGAGGACCCTCCATTTTGGAATTAATTACATTCCTTCTTAAACCTAACTTGTGATTTTCCATCAGTGTGACGAAGATACAGCAAACCAAACAAATTTACATTTGGAGGAACGTCTTTTCTCTGCCATCAGGTCACCGTTACATCCACTGCCAAATTCCAGCAAGCCTGCAACTGATGCAGAATTGCTATTTAAGGGCTGAATGGTCCACTCGCCCTAACAACTGTGGGGTTTGGGATGGCACTTGTATTTGTTCCTCTGTGGGAACGCCCAAATTGCACACACGTTTATGTCCCAGAAAATCTAGTACTTGTCAAACTGTGAAGGGATGCACTGTTCCACCAACAAAGCTTTACTTTAAGCTTCAATGACTTTGAGTTGAACATTTACCCAAACTGAAACAAAAATATATGTCTGTGATCGGTGTTTTAGTTCCTTCAGTTCCAACTGGTTTTGATATTCTTTTTTTGTTTCTGCATTTTTTATTTCATTTTATTTGTTTTTTATTTTTTCCTACTTGCTTTGATTCTGTTTTATCTTCCTGTATTTTAATCATGTAAAGCACTTTGCATTGTCTTTGTACTGAATTGTGCTATACAAATAAATTTGCCTTGCCTTGCCTTGCCTTCAGTTACACAGTCTCAATGCAGACAGAGGATATTTACATTGTATTCTCCAAACGCTGTCCTCTCATCTTTTTCATGCTGATGTGTTTTAATTATGTTCATTTATGCAAAATATAACTACATACGTTTGTTTTAGATTCTGGCACAATATAAGTGCTGACCATTTGCTTGAGACTCTGCCACCCCTCTCCACTACTTTGTCTTCTGCAGCTTCTTGCTAACTTATTCATACCTATTAACTTTTTACATTTCCTAACATACAAACCTCAGACCTGAATGTCTTTTATTGAGATGTTTTATGATGGATTAACATTAAGTAGCACCTAACTTTGAAGAAAAAAAAAATTACATCATTTTCAAAATCTTGCACAGAAAATATGTTAGATATTTACTTTGCCCCCTTAAAAAAGTCCAGTGCATCATCACTGACATTGTGTAACAATCTTTTTTTTTTTTTTTACTGACTAAATTTGATGACTGCATTTACATATGTTATTATTGGTGCATTATTACCTCCACTAATAATCAGCCAACTTTTCATAAACAAACAGTTTTATAATATTTTCTACATAAGTCTGGTCACTGACTGTGAGTTTGCTATCTGTTAAGTACAGAAGCTGGCAAGGGCTCAAACGTTACTAATGCATGGAATAACAATGCATTTCCTCTTGCTGGCAGTTCAGTGTGATTGAGAGGCAGTTGTGAGGCTTTGGAGATGCTAGCCGAACAGCTGAAAGTCTGGACTGCTGCAGCACGTTGCAGGACTGGAAATGTGCAGCAGCAACACAATAAACAGTTTCACCATCTCTAAGAAAGCAAAAAGACGACTTAAAAGATAAAGAAACTGAAGGCATTAAAAAAAAGAGGTCGAGCAGCGAGCAACCCTTCTCCAGGTGAAAGGCACCAATGAAGGAGAAAGATTTTAAAAAGGAAGCTGAAGTAGCATGTTTCTCTTTGGCAAGTTAAATGTACTGCCTTAATTGGCCTAAATCTAACATTTTCCATTCAGTTTAATTAGACAATGTTACAAGCTACCATAGAAAGGATAACAGCAGATCCTGCCAACATAGACCAATCCTGTTGGTACAGATTTGCAGGTGAGTTTAGTGGCTTTCAAAGTCGCTGTGAATGCTGGCATTTCATTACAGAAAATACCAGTGTCATAATCTTGGCGCTGATGACAGGTCTGTTTACACATTTTATTCTCCTGCCTTGCTCCTCCCAGTTCTCATTACCACTCATCTGATCCACCGGCTAAAATGATTTAAACAGCCTTCTAACCAGTCATCAGTGCCAGATTATTCTAGCCTTTGGTGAGAGTTCTCTAGCGTACCTGTGTTTTCTGACTGTTTAAACCTGATCCAATCTGCCTCTGAGCCTGCCTGATCTTGTTCTGATCTGTTTGCCTGATCTGACTTTGGATTCCTGCTTGATATCTTCCTTTCTGTAAACCGAACCTGGAACTGTTCCTGACTCCGTTGTGGATTTCCTTTCGGCACCTTTTTGAACCTCTGATCTCATGGCTCTGACTACCGAGCACATCTTCAACATCTGCTTTGGCTCTGCCCTCTGGATTTCCCTGCATTCATTCGTCTGCTCAGCTCTGATCTCCTGTGTGCCGACCTCAGAGACATCAGCGTCTGGGACCCTCTGGGCAATGTCCGCCGTGTTTCATTTCCAGCTGACCGACTGGAACCAACTTCTTCCTCTGGGCTTGGACTGAACTATAAGACCAGGTTTGTGACATGACGTGGTTACGCCTGCATTGGTGAGGCTTTTTGACACATGGGGGCTACTGCTTCCGCAATAGATGTTTGTGGCAGTGACATGCTGAGTTTTAGTGTTTGTTTGAATGAAATATCCCCATTTCACCTCTAGATGACAGTAATTCTTACACAATGTCCCTTTATTAGAAGCAAAATTCAGCTTTTCTGTCCAGCTTCAGAGGTGAACAAACAGGCTCATAAGGAGCAAATGACAAAGGTGACAGGTTGGGGGTAATGTAGTGGGGGTTTATAGAGCTGGATTAGATTATCTAAGAATCTTCCAAGCTTTTAACATCTCACAGATAAATATTTACTCTGTCATCTTAAATATGAAGAGTAGGGCAAAACGGGAAACTGACCAAGATATGGCTACAAACCTAATATTGAGGATGTCTAATAAAACAATGTTTTAATTAGAAAATAATTTATTATTAGTGTCGCTTTTCAAGGAGTTTGTGACATATACACAGATAATAAAATGTTAAGGCTGCAGAGAATCTGCAGTTCACTTTGTAACTTGGACCTGAAGATTACTGAGAAATCAGGTTGAGTTTGGGAAAACGCGAGAAATTGGCCTAACAGAGATGTTCTTTTGTATATGTGCACGGCTCTCATTACCAAAACCAGTGTAATGTAATCCAGCATCACTGATTGGAGTTTTGTCAGGCATTTGCAATCCCAGGGTGAACTGGACAGTGCTTAAAATAACCTGGCTGGCCAGTGAAGTGAGTGTACAAGGTGTCCTGACTCCTGAACAACACACACTGCAGTCCTGAGCTCAGCCAAACCTCTTTTTGACATTTAAGCTTTTAATGCAGCTCTGCAAGAAATACAGGTGCTGGTCATAAAATTAGAATATCATGAAAAAGTAGATTGATTTCAGTAATTACATTTAAAAAGTGAAACTTGTATATTATATTCATACATTACATACAAACTCATATATTTCAGATGTTTATTTTGTTTAATTCTGATGATTACAAATGACAACAAATGAAAATCTCAAATTCATCATATCAGAAAATTAGAATATTACTGAAGACCAATAAAAACAAAGGATTTATAGAAATGTTGGCCAACTGAAAAGTATGAACATGAAAAGTATGAGCATGTACAGCACTCAGTATTTAGTTGGGCCTCCTTTGGCCTGTATTACTGCAGCAATGCGGCGTGGCATGGAGTCGATCAGTCTGTGGCACTGCTCAGGTGTTATGATAGCCCAGGTTGCTCTAATAGTGGCTTTTAGCTCTTCTGAATTGTTGGGTCTGGTGTATTGCATCTTCTTCTTCACAATACCCCATAGATTTTCCATGGGGTTAAGGTCAGGAGAGTTTGCTGGCCAATTAAGAACAGGGATACCATGGTCCTTCAACCAGGTACTGGTAGCTTTGGCACTGTGTGCAGGTGCCAAGTCCTGTTGGAAAATGAAATCTGCATCTCCAAAAAGTTGGTCAGCTGCAGGAAGCATGAAGTGCTCTAAAACTTCCTGGTATGTGGCTGCGTTGACCCTGGACCTCAGAAAACACAATGGACCAACACCAGCAGATGACATGGCACCCCAAACCATCACTGACTGTGGAAACTTTACACTGGACTTCAAGCAACGTGGATGAAGTGCCTCTCTTCTTTTCCTCCAGACTCTGGGACTTTGATTTCCAAAGGAAATGCAAAATTTACTTTCATCAGAGAACATGACTTTGGACCACTCACCAGCAGTCCAGTCCTGTTTCTCTTTAGCCCAGGCAAGACGCTTCTGACGCTGTCTGTGGTTCAAGAGTGGCTTGACACAAGGAATGTGACAGCAGAAACCCATGTCTTTCATACGTCTGTGTGTGGTGGTTCTTGAAGCACTCACTCCAGCTGCAGTCCACTCTTTGTGAATCTCCCCCACATTTTTGAATGGGTTTTGTTTCACAATCCTCTCCAGGGTGTGGTTATCTCTCTTGCTTGTACACTTTTTTCGACCACATCTTTTCCTTCCCTTCGCCTCTCTATTAATGTGCTTGGACACTGAGCTCTGTGAACAGCCAGCCTCTTTAGCGATGACCTTTTGTGACTTGCCCTCCTTGTGCAAGGTGTCGATGGTCGTCTTTTGGACAACTGTCAAGTCAGCAGTCTTCCCCATGTTTGTGTAGCCTATAGAACTAGACTGAAAGACCATTTAAAGGCTTTTGCAGGTGGTTTGAGTTAATTAGCTGATTAGAGTGTGGCACCAGGGGCCATCAATTTTGAACCTTTTCACAATATTCTAATTTTCTGATATGATGAATTTGAGATTTTCATTTGTTGTCATTTGTAATCATCAAAATTAAACAAAATAAACATCTGAAATATATGAGTTTGTATGTAATGTATGAATATAATATACAAGTTTCACTTTTTAAATGGAATTACTGAAATCAATCTACTTTTTCATGATATTCTAATTTTATGACCAGCACCTGTAAGGTTAGAGCACAGAGATTAAGTAAATACTGTTGTGCCGTCATGGCAAAAGGAGAGCTCCTGTGAGCCAGTACAAGAGGCAGAAAGGTTCATTAGGAAAAATGTTAAAGGAGCTGAAGTTGATTAAAGAATAGGGCTACTTTAAGAAATGTGTCTCCACAGTGTGCTCCCTTGACATTTACATGCTGGTTTTCTTATTTAATCCCTATTATGAAAGCGTTGACTCACCAAGCACAATGGCCAACATTTGAGTTGCCTTTTTCTCCCGAGCGTGCATGCTCCTGAATCGTTGGCTGGTATAAGAATGAGACATTGGCCGCAGCGACGTGTGCGTCCGACCATTTGTCAGATCCTTAACCTCGCACCCCATCCTGACAGGAGGGTGTTCCTGGTCATTGTCCACTGCATCCTGCCCTCTTTGGTCCTGCTCCAGATCCAAGTCAGTGCGGCCACAGGAGGCATGGCTGATGCTGCAGTAGTTTTGTGTGTCCACTGGGGGCAGCACAGAGTTCTCCACTGGTCCGGTCTTTGGGCGTTTGCCCCACAGGAAGCCTGAGAGCAGATTGGGCTTGGATGGACCTGATGGTTCAACACTCTGCTGAGGTGGACAAAGGGTTTTCTGTCAGTGCAGATGTTTTTTTCTTAACTCTTAAAGTGCACAAAAATAGTTATAAATAAGTGGCACATGAGAAATGATCTACCATAATAACAATCACAATTTGCATTCAGTAGCAGAGTATAAGATCTGTGCAGCATGTTTAGAATTTTCAGCTCATTGTTTTGGTTTTCCCAAGATCTTGATAAATTAGAAGTCAATTTCCTACTACAACAGACAGAAATCCAAAGTAATCTAACTCTGGTGAATTGGTAAAAAAAAAAACTCCCTTACAACTGATAAGTTAAAATGAAATGGTTTAAATATTTTTTTACGGTATATTAATTGGCTGAAATCAACACTGATATAGCCTCCAGTGACACATTTGACTCCATGAAGCTCCAAAGTTAGATTTTCTAAGTAAAGTGGTTGGAAGTGTACAACAAGTGAGCCACATTATGTTCATTTTTATGGCTAACAGCTAATCACAACCCAGAATTCAGGTTTTCTAAAAATGTTAATACTTGATAAAACCAATGAAGTGAAAGGTTATGCTGTGCAGAACCATGAGGAAGACAGTCATAGCCTCTAGAGTCACACACAGATACATTCAGATCCAGGGCTACAACTATTACATTCCCCTTGTCAAGTCCCTCCCTAATAAAAAAAAAAAAGAAACAAACAAACAATGAAAATCTTTTATTATGGATGAACAAAAGAAGAGAGGGTTAAAACTGTTTCAAGGAAAGTATACTTTCATTTTATTTGGAGATAAAATCCATTTGCATGGAGCCAAAATCACAAATATAATGGTAGTGGTATCACCACGCTTATAATGCCATCCAATTAACCTGACCTAAACCCCAGAGCAACAATGCTGACATGCTGAAAGTCACTATTAAAGCAACCAATTTAGCTGGGACTTTTCAAAAGAATGATATTTCTGTATTTTTTTTTATGTGTTATAATATGCAATCCATAATTATTCTCATAAAGAGAGAAATCAGTTGAAGTATTTCACATTGAGTCTATGTAGTTCAGCTCATTCAGTAAACTGAAAAAGTCTACTTTTCTGTGATTCTTTTCTATTTTTTTCTTTAATAGACTAAGAGGCACCTAAAATACACTATATTGCCAAAAGTATTTGCTCACCCATCCAAATTATTGGAATCAGGTGTTCCAATCACTTCCATGGCCACAGGTGTATAAATTCAAGCACCTAGGCATGCAGACTGTTTTTACAAACATTTGTGAAAGAATGGGTCGCTCTCAGGAGCTCAGTGAATTCCAGCGTGGAACTGTGATAGGATGCCACCTGTGCAACAAATCCAGTCGTGAAATTTCCTCGCTCCTAAATATTCCACAGTCAACTGTCAGCTGTATTATAAGAAAATGGAAGTGTTTGGGAACGACAGCAACTCAGCCACGAAGTGGTAGGCCACGTAAACTGACGGAGCGGGGTCAGCGGATGCTGACGCGCATAGTGCGAAGAGGTCGCCAACTTTCTGCAGAGTCAATCACTACAGACCTCCAAACTTCATGTGGCCTTCAGATTAGCTCAAGAACAGTGCGCAGAGAGCTTCATGGAATGGGTTTCCATGGTCGAGCAGCTGCATCCAAGCCATACATCACCAAGTGCAATGCAAAGCGTCGGATGCGGTGGTGTAAAGCACGCCGCCACTGGACTCTAGAGCAGTGGAGACGCGTTCTCTGGAGTGACGAATCGCGCTTCTCCATCTGGCAATCTGATGGACGGGTCTGGGTTTGGCGGTTGCCAGGAGAACGGTACTTGTCTGACTGCATTGTGCCAAGTGTAAAGTTTGGTGGAGGGGGGATTATGGTGTGGGGTTGTTTTTCAGGAGCTGGGCTTGGCCCCTTAGTTCCAGTGAAAGGAACTCTGAATGCTTCAGCATACCAAGACATTTTGGACAATTCCATGCTCCCAACTTTGTGGGAACAGTTTGGAGCTGGCCCCTTCCTCTTCCAACATGACTGTGCACCAGTGCACAAAGCAAGGTCCATAAAGACATGGATGACAGAGTCTGGTGTGGATGAACTTGACTGGCCTGCACAGAGTCCTGACCTCAACCCGATAGAACACCTTTGGGATGAATTAGAGCGGAGACTGAGAGCCAGGCCTTCTCGTCCAACATCAGTGTGCGACCTCACAAATGCGCTTCTGGAAGAATGGTCAAAAATTCCCATAAACACACTCCTAAACCTTGTGGACAGCCTTCCCAGAAGAGTTGAAGCTGTTCTAGCTGCAAAGGGTGGACCGACGTCATATTGAACCCTATGGATTAGGAACGGGATGTCACTTAAGCTCATATGTGAGTCAAGGCAGGTGAGCAAATACTTTTGGCAATATAGTGTATATCTAGTAAACAGAAAAAACAATTGTTTCTTCAAAGGTAAATAAACAAAAAATTCTTTAAATTGTTTTTACAGATAGTTTTAATGCCCCAATGTATTAAAGAATAATCATTGAGGATTTTATATTCGATAATTGCACTTCATTGCCTTTGAATCAGGATTCTCTCTACCTGTGTGGAGTCTTTTAAATAACAAGAGTCCATTTGCCCAATTCCCCTTGGGTTCATTTGGTTATACTAGCAGATAATTGCTACTCCAAGCCAACAAAGTGTTTAATAAGGCTGAGAAAATTTGACTTTGCAGCTGATTCAAGCTGTTTTAGGAGACACAAACTTTTTTTTACACTGCAGCTCTACTTGGGCATTCAGCACACATCAGGAAGCGTATTATGAGCATTAGTAAATGCAGCCTTTTATTCTGGCAGCTTGTTCATACATCACCCATATAACCAAGTCTTCACCAGCTGCTTTAATTAGCCATTTCCTTCACGAGGAATAACATCAATCAATAAGGTTCAAGCAGTGCGGCAAAAAACGGAAACTTTCTGTTCTACTTTCTGACTCATATCAACTTATGTTTACCTCTAAGCAAAACTACAGATTGTTATTTGCTCAGCTTTCAAGCAGCCTGCAGGTTGTGCAGGTGCTGCAGTGCGTCATCCCTAGACTTTGCTTAGATGACAAGCGACCAGGTGACGTAAGAGCAAGCTACGCTTCAGAATTGCAATTTCAGACTCCCTCTCAGACCGCTGGGCTTGTAACCGCTCAGTGGATCGAAAGAGATCCTGAGTTTGCATGAAAATGCACAGACGGGGAAAAGGAAAGAATAGCAACAGAAGGACCTTGTTTAGTCACCGGGTCACAACAATCTGGGACTGTTACTAACTAGATTGTCATGCTTTCATTTGATCATAACCTGAAAACATCACTCACCACTTTAATCCTTATAGGTGATAAGTCTTGTCTTCCCTTAGGAGTTTCTTCCTGCAGACACGTCTCCTAAGAAAACAGAAAGGAGGTAAATAAATAAAACATTTTTTGGATGAATGCACAAAACCTAATCAGTATACAAGTAGCACATTTCTCCGCCCTTCACTCGAAACTCATCAATTCAGCTTGTCTTATCGCAGAGGACGGTTTTATTGGAATTCATGACAGGGACAGAGCAAATCAAGGAAACTGGGTTACTTGTCGTGTAGGTTTTCATGCCGTCTGACTCCTGAGTCAACTCAATTAAAGCGCACTACAAACTTCATGATGCACACTATTGAAAATGTAGAGAAGATAAAGTTTGAAATCCCAAATAGAGAAGCTTATAACCTGCTGTGTAAGTTCAATTAAGACCGTCTCCTGACTTGGGACTGGGGTTGCTGAATCACCTATACAGAAAATGCAAAGAAGACAACAAAAAGAACCATAATCCATAACAGATGTATAGGATCAAAAAATGGAGATAAATATTCAAACCAAAGTAAATTTTTTAAACAAGGATGTCAAATTTATCTAATTACTGTGAGCATCATAACAACTCCAAGTAGTAGAATAAATAAAATGAAAAGATATACATAACTAAACAGGACAAATCTGATATAAAGTATCTCAGAGATTTAAATGGATAATAGGTTTGAACTCTGTGATCATCACTGGAACAGAGTTTAGATCCAGCTCCTAAGAGGAAAAACACTAGCTTCCTCCACTGTTTCACATTTATTTGGTGATATAAAAGTTATATAAAATTATTTAAAAATACATCTTTAGGAGGATGGGAGATAACCCAAAACTAACAGCCTTACGCTGGATTTATTTATGATATTTTCTACCACAGATAGAAAAAAAAGTTATATTAGAAATTTTGCAGAAATTTTATCTTGCGTAAAAATTGTAAAGGTTTCAAAGTTGTAAAATTGTTTAAAAAATTATGTAGCTTCTGTACCTTTGTGCAAAAACATTTGCCCATTAATTAATTCATCGATTTGCCCATTGCTTCATCAATTTGCCCATTGCTTGGTGTTTTTAGGTTATGTCAAATAAATGTTTCAGATAAACAGTCAGACAAAATGCATTTTTAAATGAGCAATTGATTTTTAAGGAAAATAGGTTATTCCGTAAAAATTCAAAAAATATCCACTGGACTTGGTTTTCAAGATTTGAAGACGTTTCGCCACCTCTCCAGGAAGCTTTCTCAATTCAAATGTCTGGATCCGCAGTGAGTCTTATATGGACAAGGCCTTGTATTGCTTGGAAACATGCAAATGGTAACCGATGAATGGGTCGTTTTAGTTCCATCGTTAGCCTGTAATATCTGAACCTGTCTATGATTGTTAAGGGTCGGTCGTTAAGGAGGTATTGTTTAACGACCGACCCTTAACAATCATAGACAGGTTTCAGGTATTACAGGAGACAATCCCCCCTTAATGGCAATCCCCCCTTTAACGACCGACCCTTAACAATAGACAGGTTCAGATATTACAGGCTAACGATGGAACTAAAACGACCCATTCATCGGTTACCATTTGCATGTTTCCAAGCAATACAAGGCCTTGTCCATATAAGACTCAAACTCACTGCGGATCCAGACATTTGAATTGAGAAAGCTTCCTGGAGAGGTGGCGAAACGTCTTCAAATCTTGAAAACCAAGTCCAGTGGATATTTTTTGAATTTTTACGGATTGACTATGACCTGGATGACTGAGAACCTTCATCAGATAATAGGTTATTGAATCCAACTTGGGACCTGTAAATAAATAATTACCATCCCATCAACCCTGTTTAATCATTAAGTAACTGGGGTTGAAATCCTATTTTAGTTCCATTTAAATTTGAATTTCATACCAGGAAGAGTAGGATAGAGCCTAAACAACTCATCCAGTATGCCATAAATGAACCCAGAAAAAGAAAGAGGGCAAACTGAAATGGCCTTTAGCTAGAAAGAGAAAGAGGTTCTTCAGTTTTAAATGTTCCTTGAGTAGTTGATTACTTTTAACTATGGTATCAGTTGGTGTTTCTCCTTTTTATTTCACTAGTTGCTACAGTATGTTGCCTGGTTCATCTCATTCATAATAATAATTGAACTTTATTGATCTCACATTGGAGAAATTCAACTCTGCATTTCATGAGGCCCACACGGAGCAATGTGGAGACCCAATCCCACAGACCCAGAATGGCAGTCTATGGGAGTGGGGCTCGAACTCAGAACCTCAGTATTCCAAGCTCTATGCCCTAACCACTAGGCTGCCACCACCCTAAATCGATTATGCTTTATGCCTTGCTGGCAGACTGGGCTCTGTTTCCTAAATAAAACTATTTCCCTGTGTTATTTGATACAAAACCTCCAACATTTGCCTTTTTGTGATATTTTTTTTGAGTCTTTGTTAAACTTTTGCTGTACTCAGCTTTCAACACAATGTTCCCCTGCATGTAAGGCGCATTTCAGTTAATTAGCCATACAAAGTTGAATAATTTCTTCCTTTTTCTTTTCAAGATCTTTCTACATTTGGGTTTTCTCCACAGTAATCGCTGCACATTTACATGCTACTGTAGCCTTGTCATAAACCATGAGAAATTTTCTGAAAAAAACAAAAACGTATGTGCATTAAAACAAATAATACAGTTATGAATTTAACAGGTCAATCTTTCATATATCCAAATAAAATTATTTCAAAGATATTGTTTAAACAATAAAAATATTAAAAGTATTATTGTAGGGAAGATAGCAGGTGGTTGGACTGTATTTTGAACTATTAGGTTGCACCGTTCAGTTTTCCATCGGACACAATCAAGAGGAGTGCCGGCCAGAGCACTACTTAAGCCCAGAAGGATGTTGAATGGGGATTAGGTCAGAAAGGAGGACGCCAGACTGGATGATTTAAACTTGACTTTCTTGTATTAACTTTAGGTGGTATCATACATGGGTTTTAACAATGCATCTGCGTGATCCTAAACACAACAGAAATGAAGATAAAATAACTCAAATGCTGTCTGTAGAGTTACTGCTAAATTCACACTAAGCTCCATAATAATCATTAGCATCTACGATACACATAACTGAGGTAGATGAACTAGAATTACATTATACGCATAGGCAACAGGTGATCTAGGTAGGTTCAGCACAATCTACCAAATAACTACCGGATAACAGGAAAAATATACCAAAATATGCATCAAAATAAACTTAACTTATTTAAACAACAATATTTGGTTACTTACTTTGGTCATTTATGCACACAAACACAAGGATTACTTTGGATGAAAGTCAGGTAACTCTGAAGCATGGCATCTGAACTAAACAAAGATGGATGAACATGTGATGTCATATCCTGAAACTAGCAATGTCAAAATAAGAGTCCCTAAACTAACTAAGGAAGTACAGTAAAATAACCACTACTTGTCAGACTAAAAGTCTGTAATGTCCATAGCCTTTTCTACAGCCGCCCCCAAATGTATGTAGTACATTTGAAACAAAGAAAAGGCTAATTAAATCGGATGACTCTCTTCACCCTTTGGAAGGGCTGGCAGAATCACCAGCCGGGCGACAGGTCGCGTGTAGGTGCGGTCTCTGACCTTCACATCCGCGGACCGGATGCGACCATCCAGACTGGGGTGGACCTTTACGATGCGCCCAATAGGCCACATGGCCCTAGGGTGCTGGGGGTCCACGATCATTGCCACAGAGCCTTCTGTGACGTCGGCCGGGGAGGACTGCCACTTCTGTCTGAGCTGCAGCCCAGGTAAGTACAGTCTGATGAAGCGAGCCCAAAAGTGGTCGGTCATCACCTGAGCATGCTTCCACCTCCGCTGGCTGAGGAGCTCATCTCTGGGGTAGACGACTTGTGGGAGGGACCCATCGGACCGCCCCATCAGCAGGCAATTGGGAGTGACCGGGTCTGGATCACTAACGTCGGAGGGAACATACCCCAAGGGTTTGGAGTTCAGGATCGCCTCCACTTCGATGAGGACTGTCCGAAGGACCTCCTCCTGAAGGGGCTGAGCACCTACAGTGGTGTACAAGGCGCTCTTCACTGAGCGAATCTCTCGCTCCCACACGCCTCCGAAGTGTGGAGCAGCGGGAGGATTGAAGTGGAAGTTGATTCTGTAAGGTGCCAGGAGGGACTGGAGGTCAGGTGACATGGCTGCGAATGCCTCTCGTAGCTCTTTGTCACCAGCTTTGAAGTTAGTCCCCTGGTCTGAATAGATCTCAGCAGGGGTCCCTCTACGGGCGATAAACCTTCTTAGGGCCATGAGAAAGGAGTCGCCATCGATGGAGTTAAGTAGGTCAAGGTGAACCGCTCTGACGGTTAGACATTTGAATATGATCCCCCACCTCTTCTCCAGACGCCTTCCCACCTTGACTTCAAACGGCCCAAAGCAGTCTATGCCTGTAGAGTGGAAGGCAGGTTTAAACAGGCGTAGGCGGGCTAAGGGCAGATCAGCCATTTGAGGGACGGCAGGCTTCGCCTTCCAGCGGCGGCAGTCTGTACACGTTTTCTGGAAGCGACGTACTGCCTCTCGGCCTCGCAGAATCCAGTAGTAACGCCGGATCTCTGCGAAGACGCGCTCTGGCCCAGGGTGTTTCAAGCGACAATCGAAGTCCTGAATAAGCAGGCGGGTCACTGGGTGTGAGGGGTCTAACACCACTGGGTGTAGACTGGTGTAATCCAGGTCTTCTGACCTGCGGAGTCGACCACCAACTCTGATGAGGTCACTGCTTTCGTCAAGTTCCGGAGAGAGGCTACTGAGATGGCTGCTCCGTAGGACTGGTTTCTTTGCTTTAAGGAGACGAAGCTCGTCAGGGAAGCAGTCTTGTTGGACCTGTCGGAGAAGGTGAGTCTCTGCATGACGGTAATCATCTGCAGAAGCACATCCATCTTCTGCAGCCGCCCCATGAAGCTTCAGGGCTGTGGCCTTCAGCAGCTCCCTCCAGGTGTTGTACTGGTTCAGCTCTGAGTCTGCCTGACTCACAGCTGTAGAGGTGGCACCACAGAAGGTCTCTTTGCGAAGCTCTGAAGAGTCGGAAGGATCTCCCAAGATTCCCGGAGGCTGCGCTGGCCACTGGTCACAAGGTAGGAGGAGGAACGGAGGGCCTTGGCTCCATCTGTTGGGTTGGGTTAAGTCCTGCAATCTTTTACCGCGAGTAATATCGTCGGCCGGATTCTGGGCAGAGTCGACGTACCGCCATGTGTGTTGCTGAGTGAGATCTTGAATTTCAGCAACACGGGTGCCGACAAAGACTTTGAATCGGCAGGATTCCGACCTCAGCCACGCCAGCACGGTTGTGGAGTCTGTCCAGAGCATGGTTCTCTTGATGTCCAGGGTAAGCTCATCATTCAGGAGTTTGGAGAGCTGAGCTCCAGTGAGGGCACCACACAGCTCTAACCTCGGCATGGACTGTAGACGTCTAGGGGCCACTCTGGATCGTGCCATGACGAAGGCCAGGTGTGGTACACCGTCGCTGTCGACCATCCTGAGGTACGCTACTGCTCCGTAGGCCAGCTCCGATGCATCGCAGAAGATGTGAAGCTCTCTCTCGTTTATGGCAGCAGCTGTGCCCTTGGGCAGGTATGGACGACTGAAGCAGACTTGAGAGAGAAACTGTAACTCTCCTTCCCAGTCTCTCCACTGCTTGAGGAGATGTGGGGGCAAGTGGGGGTCATCCCAGCCTCTCTGCTTGTCCCAAAGGCATCTCACTAGCATCTTGGCTCTAGTAGTATAGGGCAGGATGAAGCCCAAGGGATCGTACTGACTGGCGAGCACCTTGTAGATGTTGCGCATTGTGGGCTCATCGTACTGGATAGGGCGACATTTGTATCCCAGGATGTCAGTGGAGAACTGCCAGCTGAGACCCAATGTTGATTCAGGACTGTCCGTTTTCTCATGTGCCAACCAGAGGTCAGTGCTGGTGGATCTGAGGTCCTCAGGTAGGTGGCTGATCACTTCGGGTATATTGCTGGCCCACTGACGAAGTACAAAGCCAGCTGAGGACAGGAGACCTCTCAACTTGTCCACGAGGTCTCTGGCAGCCCCGGTGGTAGGGAGGGACTGCAGACAATTGTCCACATAGAAGCATCGTTCCACTGAAGTCCTCACCTCATCTCCAGGCTGGGTGTTCTCTCTTGTGTGGTGCTGCAGGGCGAACACAGCACAACACGGGCTGCAAGTCGTGCCGAAGGGCAGCACCTGCCACTCGTACACTGCAGGGGGTTCGTGTTGCTGTAGGTTGCGCCACACAAAGCGCAGGAGAGGCCGGTCTTCAGGTAGCAGGCGAACTTGGTGGAACATGCTCTTTATGTCTCCACTCACAGCCACTTCATGCTCCCGAAATCTGAGGAGGACTCCCAGCAGAGATGCTCCGAGAGTAGGCCCAGGAAGGAGGTGTTCGTTGAGGCTCTGACCTCGATACTGGTACGAGCAGTTGAATACAAGTCGGTGTTTGCCATTGTGGCTAACTAGGTGGTGGGGAATGTACCATGCCTCTTCTGCCCTGGTTATTTCTGATGGGTCTAGCTTTACAACGGACCCTGCCTGTATCAACTTGTCGATCTCAGCACGATACACCGTGGCCTTCTCAGGATCTCTCTGGAGTCGTCTCTCGACTCCTCTGAGGCTTGGTAGGACTGCATCGGGAATGGCTTGAAGGCGTGGCATGTCTTTGTGCCGTAGCAGCGGGGTGGCGAGGCGAGAGATGCCCTCCACTTCTTCACGGGTCGTCTTTCCTTCAAGCAGGCTGATGGCAAGGTTGTCTTGCTTGGAGCGGGTAGCCACTTTGCTGCCCCTGAGTGGTATGAGGTCGACTTGCCACAGCTTCTCAACATTCCTCATTAACTCAGTGACTTGAGGGGGAACTGAAGTGAAGAAGCAGTGCTGTGGACTGGAGATCTGGCTTATGACACTAGAGGGGCCCTGCAAGGCCCAGCCCAACCTGGTGTGTACCGCGGCTGGACCACCAGGTGGACCCAGTCGTACTGGCTGGGTAGGAGTCAAGAGGTGGGGGTGGTCACTGCCTATGAGCAGAAGTGGCTTAACCCTCTTGAAGGGCTGAAGAGGCAGTCCTGAGAGGTGCTTATACTTCCTCTGCAACTGTTCCAGAGGATAAGTATGGTCGGCGAGATCGATGCGGGTAGAGGTGAAGGCATTGGTGATCTGATACTTGGTCTTAGGTCTTGCCTTGGAGGCGATGGCGAAGGACACGTTGGCTCCGTGTAGGGTTTGGACATCCTGCCGGATTGTACGTAGAGGTAAGGACTCAGGAGTTCCATGAAGACCCAATGCCTCATTGGCAGCTGGCAGCAACATCGTTCTCTCTGACCCGTCGTCTAATACAGCATAGGTGTCCAGAGTGCGGCCGCCATGGTACAGGAACACTGGGACCACTTTCAGCAGCACTCTGCTGCCTTCAGCTGGCCGATCCAGGTACAATACCTCAGTGGAGGTTGTGCTGCCACCTTGAGATGGCACTGTTGCTTGGGTGGGACCTCCCTGAGTCGCTGTATTGACGTTGTGTAGTGCCTGTAGGTGTCGACCTTGACACAGATTGCAGGTCTTCTTTAGGGTGCACTGCGCCGCCTGGTGTGAGCGCGCACAGCGCCAACATCTCTTGTTGGTCTTAATCCAGTCAGTTAGCTGTTCTTTGTTTAGCTTACTGATGGCCATGCACTGACTCAGATGGTGTTCTCGGTTGTCGCAGAATGCACAGTAGGGTGCTGGCTTGACCTTGCCTTGACTATCACTTGTAGGTTTGACCTCCTTAGGCGTACTGTATGTTCCATGCAGCACAGTTACAGAGGGCTTCTTTGGGTTGGTGCTAGTCTTAGCACTGGGCTTGGCTCTCACCCCTCTAGAAGATAGTTGGCCATCAAAATCCTGACACCAGGCTTCATGCTTAAGCCACTGAGCTAGGTCGTAGAGAGTGTAACTTCTCTTAGACTGGCTGAACATGCATCTACGGAAATCAGCTCTTTGTTCTGGGGGCAGCTTGCTGAGCAGCCTTGCAACATGGGTACCACATAGGAGCTCCACCTCACCCTCAGGACCAAGTGTCTTCAACATTCCCACCAGTGACTGTATCTGAAGTGAGAATTGGTCGAAGGCCACTGCATCGCCACGTCTAATGTCAGGTGTGTCCATCACCTCAGCGATCCGCTTAATGGTCAGCTGATGAGGCTGTCCGAACTTCTCATTGAGGGCCATCATTGTGTCTGTAAAGGGTGTCTGAGAATGGATGTAGGCATCAGCTATCAGTTTGGCCTCCTCTAGCTTCAGGTGGTCAACTAAGACCTGATACTTAAACATTTCGGTGCTATCAGTAGGTAGCAGGTTCTCGAGGGCAATCTTGAGATGAGTAAACTCACCAGGATCTCGATGAGAGAAGTTGGGTATGGTAGCACGGGGGCCACGATAGGCTGATTCTACGATAGAGGTGTGGTATGATGGTCTGGAGTAAGTTGGCGCCTGTCTAGTTGCATATGGTGGACCCGGAGGAGGTGGTGGACGTTGCAGTGATGGAGGGCGGTGTGCAGTGGGGTTCAGAGGCACGCCATATAGTGGGGAGGTGAGCTGCGGTGGAGGTGGGGGCAAACTGGACCATGCAGGGCGCTGTTGCAGGGTAACTGTAGGGGCGTGGCTAATGCTGGGGTAGGTGGGCCTAAAGGGTTGGATAGGTGGTGGTGCCGACAGCGGCTGGGCTATTGGCGCTACATTCTGCTTGGCTGCTAGTGTCTCATTTCTTAATAGCTGCAGTTCACTCATTAACCGGTCGAGGCGGTCAACCATGGGCTCTTCACTCGAAGGTGGCACATCTCCGGTGTTGCTTAACCACGGTGGTGGTGGTGGCCATCCTCCATCATCATCCACTGTGGCTGAATGAAAGCCATGTGCCTCGTGTGGTTGTTGTAGGCTGCGTGCAGTATTTACCAGCTGTAGCATGTCTGCACGGACTGCTTTAAGTTCTGCCAGGCCTGTTGACATGCACTGCTGGGACTGCAGTGACTGCTCCAACATGTGCTGTAACACACGCCTCTCCTGCTGGATGTCTTGTAGCTCTGCATCATAGGCTGTGCTCTTACCAGGTGAGTGAATAAGGAGATGGCGAGGAGTACTGTCACCACATTCATTTTTCTCCTCATGCCAATGAGCACCAAGCCCCCTGTAGTCTACTTCATAATCTTCATAACGGAGAGGAGGGCGTGTCTGGCGTCGAGGGCGTGCACCAAGGAATTCAACATCTTTCATATCCATCTTGATTGAGTGCAATGTACATCCGGCTCGAAGGACCATTAATGTAGGGAAGATAGCAGGTGGTTGGACTGTATTTTGAACTATTAGGTTGCACCGTTCAGTTTTCCATCGGACACAATCAAGAGGAGTGCCGGCCAGAGCACTACTTAAGCCCAGAAGGATGTTGAATGGGGATTAGGTCAGAAAGGAGGACGCCAGACTGGATGATTTAAACTTGACTTTCTTGTATTAACTTTAGGTGGTATCATACATGGGTTTTAACAATGCATCTGCGTGATCCTAAACACAACAGAAATGAAGATAAAATAACTCAAATGCTGTCTGTAGAGTTACTGCTAAATTCACACTAAGCTCCATAATAATCATTAGCATCTACGATACACATAACTGAGGTAGATGAACTAGAATTACATTATACGCATAGGCAACAGGTGATCTAGGTAGGTTCAGCACAATCTACCAAATAACTACCGGATAACAGGAAAAATATACCAAAATATGCATCAAAATAAACTTAACTTATTTAAACAACAATATTTGGTTACTTACTTTGGTCATTTATGCACACAAACACAAGGATTACTTTGGATGAAAGTCAGGTAACTCTGAAGCATGGCATCTGAACTAAACAAAGATGGATGAACATGTGATGTCATATCCTGAAACTAGCAATGTCAAAATAAGAGTCCCTAAACTAACTAAGGAAGTACAGTAAAATAACCACTACTTGTCAGACTAAAAGTCTGTAATGTCCATAGCCTTTTCTACACTATTTATGTTATATAATTCTTCTGGCATAAAACACTGGAATGTTCATGTCGCATAAGTATGGACACCTTCTAAAAAACTATTTGATAAGACAGTTTTGAATTGGTTTTAGTATTCCGTTTTTTTTTTTTTTTTTTTTTTTTTTTATATGAGTGTAGTTGCATAACACATCTTGGCATAGTATAATTTTCCCACTCTGCCTTACAAGGCATCTCCTATTCACAGCCGCACTCATTTTCTGTCAGACTTAGTTCTGGAATCTAGCTAGGCTGTTTAAAAGATTCAACTTCACTCTCATGTTGGCTGAGTATTTGCTCAAACTGTGATACTCAAAAATAAATATTTCCTTTTTTCAGTTTTTTTAGCAGAAAACTTAAGAGTTGGGGTCAAAATTATATGCTATTTGGAACTTTTTACAGTTTCAACCACCTTGACCAATACCTGGTCTGGGGTATATTTTATATGAGTTGCTTTTATGTCAGAAATACTTGATAGAGCTATTGCTGGCAGGTGCTGCAAAATGTGCTCAGTACCTCCATAAAGCTTGTCAGCAGAAGGAAGCATTAAGACATTTCTGACTGTGGAAATGTCACAATGTACTTTAGGAATATTGATTCTTTCCCTTTCAATATACATCTAGACTCTTAAACTTAGATTCCCAAATTAGATGCAAACTTTACTATTATGTGAAAATAGGACTTTAGAGCACTGAGCTATAGTGTGGTTTTTCTCCTAAGCCCAGGTAAGATGCTTGTCGACCATGTGCAGGATTTTTCTACTCCTCCCAGCTCTTGAGGCACTGACTCCAGCCTCAGTTCACTCCTTCATTCATATTTCTTAGTGGGTTTTACTTGACAGGCCTCTTAAGTCTGTTGACATCCCATGAGAGAGGCATTTATTTCTATCATCTATTTCCTACCAACCTTTTTCCTTCCATTAAACCTTCTCTGAATATGCTTTAACTTGTTCACAATTTCAAATTTTTTATGGAGACAAAGTCTAATCCTTTAAATTACAACAGGCAAAGGCTTAAAACCCATACTCCCTTTATGTGTAATGAATCTGTATAATTTATGAGAGTCACTTCTGGAATAACGAATAACAATTTTGCTCTTATTTTTTTTATTTTTATTTTTTTTTTCAGATGTTTTTAAAAAAGTCAACATTCTGCCAAATGTTTTAGGATATTTTAGACAGATCTGGATGTTTTCTTTAAAAGAAAAAAATATTTAGTCGAGAAATGTTAGTCATACAGGAGACTGTTGTCACATATAAAACACAACCAGGACTTGAACATCATTGCGACTCATTCAGTGTCACTTTTTACCTCTTGATAGCCTCCCTGACCAGTTCCAGTATCGTCTTGTTTCTGGTGTTGGAGGGATTTTCAGTTTTGTAATATCCTCTGTTGTATTTTGTTTTCTCTTAGAACTTTGCTTTGACATCATGTACACTGCTGTGGACTATTTGTATGTTTCCTGACTGAAACCTTTGCAAATTGTAATTTTTTCGTCTTTAATAACGTCTCTGGATGCAAGTGTCGGGAAAATCCTACAACCTGTTGAACTTAATATCAAGTTCCCAAGATTTACTACAATTGATAGCAGAAAATCAACAAAATATTAGTCTATGCATGTAAATTGTAATTCCACGAGATTATTATAGCATTTTCTGTTTTTCTATAGTGTAAATTTTAGCTTTTCTCTCACTTTTAATATGATATAGGCATAATTCAGTTTAGAATAACAATTAAAAGATAGTTTGACTGATGTCAATTTTTTTTGCATTACAACAACTTGGCATTTGAAAGAAGGTTGTGAAGGCTTAGAAGATGAACAGTATTTAGTAAAACAGACAAGTCGATAATTTGGGGTCCATCAAATGCTCTTAAAAATGACAACTGAAAGAAGGAGTTTCGAAAAGCAGTTGTAAGTTTTTGTGTTCACCTTATGATATCAATGCTCATTAAAATAGGAAACATACAAAACACATTTTAGATTTAAATAATTTTTGCTGTTGTGTGTTTTTGAGTATGCAGAAGAAGTTTGAATTTCAACTTTAATGATCCTCACAGGGAGTTTTTATGCTTGCTCCAAAAGAAATACAAATTAGGCAAACTGCAAGGACTGCAGTACATTTCATTAGTTAGCTTAACCGTGAAATAAAAGCAGAATTTTCCTCCATTCATTGCTTAGAACACGTTGCATGAGCCTTTAGAATGTTTGTATCCAAGTAAAGAAAACAAAAAATATCCACTGTTAACATGAACAAGCACAATCCTCAGAGAATGGCTGCATCATGCATGACGATGGCCCTGCATTAGTATCTTTCCACCCTGGTTCACACCAGATAAGTGTGCTGGGTGCTGCCTGTGTGCAGGGAGAACAGCATGTGGTTCCGCTGGTTAGTTCTTCAAGGGTTTTTTTCCTGGACTGACAGGTCTATTCTCAGCTGAATGGGAAGGGATCGTCTCTGTCTGCTACACCTGAGCCATATGTACGCTGTGTACTCAGGCAAGCAGGGGTTGAAACGATTCACAGACTCCTTTTTTTTTTTTTTAAGATTTAGAGCCCTTGATTAACAGTATCATAAATATCTATTGATTTGTTTTTTATTACTTATTCTTTGCTCATCATAGCTTCTTACAAACCTGCTGATATATTTATAACATTGTGATAGCGGGAAAATCCCCTTTCAGACCCATTAAGCATATAACTAGCGTTATCTTTTTTGCAGGAAACGTGCATAGTATTTCAAGTAGGAGGCTAATATGCTGCTGCGAGATTTAAAAGGGAGTCATGCTTGTCATCGGCTGGGGATCATACAAAGGAAGATCAACTCAGCCTCAGGCTTCCACCGAGGGGGAAACACCTCAGTCGACAGCTTATTTTCATCAAATTAAATGCCTCGGATGAGCCTTATGTTGCCCAGTAAGGCTGCAGTTCTAAGAGCAGGAGGTGAGGAGATGTAATCGCAGCTGGCTGACCTCCAAGAGGTCAAGATTAAAATTTTCAGCAGAGGATAGAGGAGAACTGTGATTCCAAAGACAGATTTCCCTGTCAGCTGTGGCAGAGGTTTTCTTTTTCTTTCTTGTTTCCTACATATTTTTTCATCTCTGGGTGGAAAACAAATGACTGTATTGCATGATGTAGGGTCTGTTTTTACACCAGGCTTAAAGCAGGAGTTTTGAAACGAGTTGTGTGTGGACAAAAGCAAATTCTTTGTAGCTACTGAGATGAGAGCTAATTCAAAAAAAGGCTTATGTGTCCGACAAAAGGAGAAGCTTGAAGCAGAGATAATTGTGGTGGAAAACCTGCCATGCTGGGCAGCTCAGAGGCTCTGGATTTGGGCAAAGCTAGGAGCCACAGTCCTGTGTCAGAGCTGATGTCCAGGAGGAGAGTTGGCTGGGTTGCTTACTGGCTCAAATCTGTGTTCAGAAAAAAAAAAAAAAAAGCCTAACAAACTAATAATGAGAGTCCAAACCACACAGGAAATCTCAGTTGCAGAATGAGAAGGTGTAGGTGGTGGTGGGGGGGCTACTTAGGATTCAAGGAATTTAGTGAATTTCTATTATCTTGTGACAGAGCGCTGAAGAGATCTAGTTCAGCCACATTGTAATGAGATTCATATCACTTTTTAGAATAACCAAACTGAAACAATATTCATCTAACTCAGCAAATGCAATCTATAAAACTAACGATGCGGAAAGACGTTCCAAAGATGTTATTACAAACACCTGCATCACAATGAAGTAGCCAAACATTCAGTTAGGATTATTGATTACTGATATGACTGTGTGAATACCCCTTGGATTCAGAAATGATCCGACTACAAACACAACTGGATGTAATGGAAATTTGCAGCGGAAAAAAAAAAAAAAAGGGCTTAGATTTTATTTGGATTTAAGTCAGTTTTATTTAGCAAGAAGTTTACATTTACTCATAGGCATTGGTATTAAATCAGTTGTTTTTTACTTTGAAGATGAATAGGAACTTTTTTGATTATCAAAAACAGAAATGATATGTGCATGGATATACATTACATACACATATGCATACATACGTAGATGCATGTAAATATATTTAAACTATATATTTCCTATAACCCACACAAAATGATGCATACAAGTTCAAATACAAATGAAAAGACGTGGTAATGTCATGTCTGAAAATTCACATTCCTGAATATTTCTTTATGATTCCTTTGTTGAAAAACATGATGATAGTCAACAGCAGATAACTTTACAAATGTAAATACATCTGACTTTCTTGTAACAAGAATAATATGAATATTCACAGAGTGAAAAAAAGAAATTGATTATTTATTTGGCATATAGACATACAGTTAGGACCTATTCTGTGTGTTTAATCATTTGTAAAATTTTGAATTGCAAATATTTTTTTAATATTTATTCAGGATATCACATTTTCATTATTTGCATGCATCTCTAGTTTTTTTAATAATTTATTTTTTTAATCACAGTATTTCAACTTAAATATATACATTTGTGGCACTATTAGTTTTCAATGCATGCTGCATTTGCAGTTGTTCCAGTTCTGCCTCTGCCAGTGTGGTATGTTTAGATTTGAGATAAAAATGCCATGCTCATATTCAAGGATGTGTTCACCTCCAGCCTGACCCAGCAGGTGCAGCGTTGGACATGCCTGGAGTGGTCTTTGACTCTGACTTAAATTTAAAGCAGCATGTCCAAGTGTTTTATTTGTTTTACTACCTCCTTTTATTGAGTTTTTTTCTTTATTTGCTTTTACTTTGATTTTAATTTTCTTCTAATTTAACTTTGAAAATTCCAGGTACTGAATTGTACTATACAAATAAACATATTGTATAATAAACAGTTTATTTCTCTACAAGCCTTTCTTTGTGGAAAAAAAAAAAGTTACTGGTCATAAGTTCATATCTTGATAGTTGGTGTTGATTCTGGGTTTCCTCTCTACCCTTGTC